AGTAATTTTCACAATCGCATGGTTCTTACAACTTTCAGTCAGAAGTTAGGTCGATGTAAAGCTCCAGCAATTGTCACATAATATATTCAAAGACGCAGATAGGAAAAAAATTAACTTTTGAACACGATCTTTCTTTCGAGGCATGTAAACAATCAACGGTGCAATTAAAAATTGTCAAATTTTCGGGACGCCCTGTTCCTTCCTCAGGACAAAGATAAAACGAACAAAATGTTTTACACAATTGCAATGAACTTGTTTCACGGATTTTGATGCTTTATTAAATTTCTAAATTTTCATTTCTATAAATCATATGTAAATAACTTTACAGTAATAATTGAACTATGCCTTCAACTATAACTTTATAATCATGTGTAAAAATATGTTTTGATTAAATAAATCAATTATAGGTTACCCTAAGTATATTGTTTTGTAAATTGTAACCTTCATCGTGTCATGAAACGGAACTCGTTCTTGAAAAATTAAATAAAATGTTGCACAATTCTATCAGATAAATGACTTTATTTTGGTTTGATCATTGTATTTTTTAAATATGCTCAAAACAGTAAAAAAAAAGTAGGAAAATGAAATGCAATTTCAGAGTAACAGTGTCCTGAACTTCCTTAATTTTATGAGGTTATATCTTTCTTTAGTTACTGGTTAAGATGGCGATAAGGACTGACGAATGAATGTAAGTTACGATATCTGTATCAGATATGGGTCAAAATGTACATACACGTGATATTTGCAAAATACTATTTTCCTTAGATATGATAAGGTTTATACACACATAGTCAATTTAAAAAAAGATATTTCTTGAGCCACTCAAAAATGCAGCCTTCTATTGAGATAATATGTAGCTAGAGGGCTAAAACTATATAGGTGATTACGGGGAAGATAAAGATAATTTAATTCATATGTTTGATTTATCTATGTCCATTAATCAATATCGTATATCATAGTCTTATTTTTCCTTCTTAAGACAAACATAATACACGAATGTATGGTGTTCAGCGTTGTATATCACAAGCTGAATATGAAGTTTGGATTCTAAGTACTCAAAAGAACTTCAAAGCATATCAACCACCAAAGGCATCAAAAATATATTCTTTCTAGGCTCCATACATTCATTCCTTACTTTAAACTAAAAAGCAGGTTCTTTGAAGTCAAAGGTAATAACATTTTAAACATAGAATATAATTTCTTGATTGATCTCCTGCAGCATCAGTTCTTTAAAAATCCTGTCTATTTAAACACTTGAGTTGACATTACAATGGTTGACTAAGACAAGAAACTAGAACTTACTGGAATTTGATCGAAGTGGGGTTTGTACGAGCTGTGCTATTTTATTATGTAACCTGATTTTATGTTCTCCTATGTTCTCATGTAGCAAAAATATTAAAAAATACCTTTCGACATTTGCACACTATACGGTCAAACTTCTATCTATTAACAGTGGTACCTTTCATTCCTATGTAGACAAGTGCAAATCATATATTTTCCAATTTTATCAGAACGTTAGTTTTAGTATTTGTTGGAGCCGAGGCTGACGTCATTACTCGTCACGCTGCAGCCAGAACCACATGTCTGAGTGAACGTCGGCCTTAGCATAGCATTTTGCATTTTTGAAGTACTAAAGTTAAACAGGTGTGTATTGTGTATTTTTGCTACTTTTTACCTAGTGTGCATTTATGTAAATCATTATAAGTATGCATGTCTTAGAATTTCATGATTTGTACATGAGTTGTGTATTCGGTGAACTTATTTCCCGCCAGACGCTACATGTGCGCCAGTTTAGGAGATCATGCTTGTCGATAGAATTTATAGAATTATTACGTAGTTAATAATGTCATATGTTTCTTGATCATAGTTATGCATAATAACGAGGTTGTTGCAACTTTATTTCTAGTTTTAATGTAATAAACGTAACTTTGAGAAATTTGTATGTAGTATTCCGGAATTACGGATTCCTCAGTTCGGAACTAGGTCTAGGTTTTGCTTTTAGTAGGCGATATGTGTTTCCTGTTTGTTTGTTTACCGATAAGTTGTTTTGATTTGTATGCATTTAATAGTGATTCAAGGTAAATTGAACATGAAGAATAGATTGTATGAATAAGATTTCATGATGTAGCAAATGTTCAATGATTTCTATACATTATAATGTCATTGTTGTTCATAATAATAAGGGAATAACTTGTCTTTGTAAACTTTGACTTGTGACCCTGATATATGATATATCAGTTTGATGGTAAAGATGTTGATGGTTAAGCCTATTACTTTTCTTGGGTGAATACATGTAGAGGTCTGTTATTTGGTAGCAACTATGTATATTATTCTTTAACAAGAGTCAAGCTAGGTATTAGGGCAGTTGTTTATTATAGAGGTCAGTATTTGTGTCATATTAAGTTGACCAGTTTAATCATATTAGTGTTTACACTTTATCGTGAGTACATAATAGTACCATGTCTTATATTTAGTGTAGGTCTCACTATATATGCTTGTATATGACTTTGATGTGTTAAGTAGTTTGATCAAGAGTTGTGCACACTCATGCTACTAGGGTTTATTTATGATAACATCATGAACCATCATTCAGTATATACACTTTGTACATACTTTATAACTGTTGTTTATTATTGTACTTTGTTCTTTGCAGATATCACTGCTGCCTTTTGGTTTTACTAAATAAATTGGTGAACCTAAACAAAAGTCTTATCGCTTGGCTACACCTATGTCGACTCATTATATGTATGTATATTCCAGTGAACTTGAAACAAAAGACTCCACAGAGTCTGCTAGATCTGATACAAATTTTGAGGGCATTTCTGACTTAAGACTTTAAGGGCCAGATAATAACTAAACTATGTAACAAACGAGATGTCTTAATTTTTCCTTTATTCCAATAGTATTCCAAATTCTTGTAACAATAAACATTTCGTAAAATTCTACAGTTGATAAAATGACTTCGTTTATAAATTTTGTCTGGTTGTAAATGAATTTATTTCTTAAATTTGATAAATCTGTAGGCACCTTTCATTTACTAGATCTTGATCTTAATAAATGAGTTTAATCGTTTTTTTATCATCACCTCTTACATCATGATATGATTTTACTCTCCTTGAACTACATTCACAAAACAAACAATATACAAGACAAAATACAAATATGGTTTGAAGTTAATCTATAGACTTTGTCATCCATTGCAATAGCTAATCAGATTGCAGATGGGCATAATGTTACACTTTAACACCATTTATCGATGGACATTGATATTGCAAGAGAATATAAATATGGAGTCCTGATGAATATAGATTAAATCATTTAAACTTGTGAAAAGGAGATAGAAGGTAAGTGTTTCAAAATTTCGATTGTGAATTTTCCTTTCCTTTGAAACAAAAAGTGTTTAGCAAACTCACTTTTTCTTTGAAATATGATCACTTGTTTTTTGCAGTAGTGCAGTTGAGGTGCGCGATGGAAATGTGAACAATTCTTTGTGATTAAAATTGTATTCATAATCAGGATGGCGATTATTTTCATTAAATAATGTATACCGAATGGTTGTAATTGTGGTTAATAACTATATATATATTGATGACGATTAGATTTAATTTTTAGACTTTTCACGTGCGGCAGTCACTTAATTTCAGCATATTTACTTGAAGTATTGAGGTCACCTAAAATTCCACTAGTGCAAAGGCATATCCAAGTTAAAATTCTAAGTTTAGTTTATAAATATTTTTAACATGCATTGCAGTTTCTGAAAAATGCTGCTATCCTATCAGATTCTGTAATTTCATTGTAAAAATCATATTTGTATGACCAAATGCTGTATTTTCACCTGATCAACGACATGAGATATTGCTATAATCAAATTAGATTTTGAGATTTTATCAGGAATGCAACACTTTTCAGATACCTTAATACTTCTAAAGTTGATTTGTTAAACGTTGACTATGGTCCATTGAGTGAATGCACTTGCACTGGATCGATTAAGGCCCACAAATTGACCCCCCTCCATGTGCTTGCATAGCCGAGACCGTTATGTTTCGAAATCAAAATTGTGCAGACAGCTAGTTGAAACTGCATATTGTTATATAATCAACAAATTAATTTAATTTCAATAATAACCAGATAATATGATCTGCGTTCTCACTACTGATCAACATCAGTTCTTCTGTTTTTGTAGTCCTAGACATAAAGTGACCTGTTGTTACCCGGTCAAATGTTCTTTGATGGATTCTGTTTGTCATCCGTATCGATGAGAAATGTCATAAAAATACAAATTATGAACTCTAAATAATCCAAGAACATATCAGCTTTAGCAACATTTATGAGTACATGTAAGACCTGAAATAAAAAGAAATCATCTATATCAAGATAAAGTTAAAATCAGAAATTATTATAGAAATTATGGTTGTTATTTTCAGATAAGAAAAATCCCAAAGACGAAAAATTCCTAACGGGAAAAATTTAACCTGAACGGTTGTTCAAATGGATAAAGATTCATAATGTCAGAATATTTTTCTTGGGATTACTTTGAAAAATTGACTTTATCTACCCCTAAGAATAACCTAAAAGAAATACTACAGCTTCTTGGGCTTAGCAATTATTTCCCAGGGAAAATAAGCACAAGAGATGCCTTACTAATCCGGAATGAACTATCCTCATCAGCCAACATAATTAAAGAATTACCGTGGGTTGCACTTCGAAAAATAATTTCTTGTGACGCTGATTTCAGAGAAAATGTCCTTTTTGAATTTACACAATCGTTTCAAGCTCCTGAAAAAGAAAGCGATGAACGCTTATCAAGTAAAGGTAATGAATCTGATGAAGATTCAGATACTGATTGCAAGGACAAAATCAATATATGCAACCTTCATCCAACTGACGTTATCCTTGCAATATATCAATGCTGTGATCCATTTCTGAAAGGGCTGATTCTAAAAAAGATGGCGTTGTGTGGAATGTCCTTACCGTTTTTATATAGACTTAAAAACGATAAAATGTATGCCTCGATATGGCAGTTACAGGATATATTCGTTGACGACAATTGCCCTCAATCGGTAGCTACTGGTCGATTCAAATCAATTGCTTTCATGCGAGTTGGATGTCACCATTGCATATCCAAGTCCGAAATAATAAATAACGTTATTTCAGAAGGAGCCACAGCTTATTTCCACAAAGGGTGTTTATTAGGACAGAAACGAAGACAAATAGCAGAGGGAATAGTTGAAATGTTTTGGTGTAAACCCAAAATCAGCAAAACATTAGTCAAGGGTATTAGATCAGAAATGGAAAAAACAGTCATTTTGTATAATCTTAGAGGAGACGCCTCTAACTTTGAAAAAGAAGTAAAATTACTGCTTGATATTTCAAACATAACTGTTTTCATCGTTAATGATATAAAACGGACGGACGATAACAAAAATTTGAAGTCTCTCTTTGGCATGATAGCAGCAAAGAGGAAAAAATGTTTTATATTTGTTTACACTAAAAATATGAAAATTGATACAATTAAGAAAACTTTTCAAGAAATTGACCGTAATATCAAAGCACCTTTGTGTGAAATCATCAGACTTTCAAGAGATTTTGACGTTTCCGCTGTTGAAGTTGCTGCAAAATATGTAAAGCCGCGCCTTGAACATGCTCTATCCTCAGTACAAGATGGAGTGGATCTTCATCAAAGTATGACAAATAACAATTCTATATCAAAAGATCACTTCAACAATGATGTAGTCAGTTCTTTGAAAATCAACAGCAAAATGTCAATCGTTCCCTTGCAAGGCGTTGACCTGTGGCATAAATTAAGTCATTTACAACAAGAATATTTACAATCACAAGGGAAGTCTTTGTATGAAAAGGAAGCATTACTCAAAGTTATGCGAGAAATAAGAAATCGACAGATTGAGACTTGTAACAAAGAAATGGTGTTCATGGCTCAGTTTTTACACCAATTATTAGAAAATGATGACAATGAAACGTTCATTCAATACTTTTTAAACTCAACTCGATTTATCCTTTTGAATGAGAAGTCAAGGAACGACTTATCTAGAGGCAAGCTAATTGGACTGAACAACAAAATGTTAAAACCTCTGCTAAGTTTGGAACATTTATTAAGAGAAATTGGCCAAATTTATGAAGCTTTCTCTGAAAAGAAAAATGTTAAGCAGAAGACAAAGTTCATTATTAACAAATTACCATGTTTGGCTGCAAAACTTCTGCTGCTAGGACATCCGTTAGAGATAATGGACGGAGACGCAGAAAACGTTCCCTTAGTCTGGTTAAAGAGAGTTTTTGAGGAGTCTCAGATTTTAATTGAAAAGAAAAAGATAGTTTCCATCGCAGTCATTGGGGTGCAAGGTTCTGGTAAATCAACTTTATTGAACACAATGTTTGGGTTGCAGTTTGCGGTAGGAGCAGGACGGTGTACCAAGGGTATTTATGCCCAGATAGTGCCTGTGTCAGGGGGAAAATTTGGTTTTGATTACATGTTTGTATTAGACACTGAAGGGCTTCGATCCACATTTATTTCAGACGACAGTCTTTACAAACATGATAATAAACTTGCTCTATTATCAATGGGTTTGGCTGATATAACGCTAGTAAATGTAAAAGGAGAATCAACGAAAGAGCTGAAAGACATCCTAGAAATGGTAATGTTTGGTTTGCTAAAACTAAGAAAAGAAGAGGCGTTTTTGTCAAAAGATCATACTGCAATATTTGTACATCAGAATGTTTCACCTCAATCAAGGGAAACAATAAAAGATGAATCGCAATTTTTTGTCAAAACCCTTGATGAAGCAACAGTGACTGCTGCAAACTTTATCAAAATTCCAGACACTGAAAATTTTTCACAGGTTATCAATTTTAAACCGGACAGGGATATTCATTGCATTCCAGACTTATGGTCTAGCAGATTGACGGTCAATGCTGAATATAGCAAAAGTGTTGTCGAAGTTGCTGACACAATTTTGCACTGTGCATCGAATTTTAAACATGCATTAATGTCGGATATTTTTCAACACATGCGATCCTTATGGAATTGCATTTCATCTGAAACATCAGAATGGAATTTTCGCAGTTTCCGACAAAATGTAGCTGATGAAGAAATGGAATGTCAGCTGGATAAGCAGTTGGTTAACTTAGATGTCTATAAGGAAGAGAAGTTGAAGGAATTGAAGCAAAGAATTTTAGAAAATAATGAAGAACTTTCATTGAAAGAGCATTTTCAAGAGTCTTTGGAAAAGAAGAGAATAAAGGAGGAAGAAGAACTTTTAAAGTTTATCAAGGATAATCGCAATTCAGATTTTATACCTAAGGACAAAGCTGTAAAAACTATTATTAGGAAAGTAATCGAAATAGAAAAATGTATAGAAAGAGAAATTCACATCTACGAAGAAGTAATAACAAATTTCTTAAGAAAATTCAGGGAAGATACCTTTGACAAAAAAATGCGTGAATTCTCTGAACAACTGACAAAAGACAATATCCAAATAGAAAACTGGAACTCCGACATTTTAAGTCAATTCCAAAAATTCTGGGAAGAATCAACGAAAGCCTTTTTTGAGGACAATGACGAAGAGAATAAAATGAATATTTATATTGAAGGAAGATTACTTGATATCGCATCTGAAAAGTTCCCAAAATATAGAGATTTCTTTCAAAAAAGAGTATGCATACCTCCATCAGAAATGTTACAGCATTTTACAGAAGAAGGCGACACATGTGCCGTATCAAGTGAAATAAATTGCATGTTGAATGATTTTAAGCAAAACCTTGAAGATCATCAACAGAGCAATACAAATTACGAGGAAAGAATTTTAATTCAATCACTGGATAAGATTTCTACAGAATTTCAGAATCGTCAAGTTTCTGATAACTTTCAAAAAGACATTCTTTTGTTTTGTTTACAACATTGCTATCAAGTCTTTTGTAGAATGAATGCAACTTTTCTTTACAGTATTAAAAAGGACGAGCACGACAAGCTATTTCGAACATATTCCAAAACATTTAAAGAGTGGTTCCATACTTACCTGAGACAGCAGCAAAAACTCAAAAGGCAAAGGACAGCAAAAACAATAGAATTAAAAGACAAATCTGAAAGGGAAAAGGAAATGCAAATAAATGAAAACGAAGAAATGGACAACAAAAGACGAAAAGTAGAAAATGAAGTGGAAAAAGCTACGGATAGGGGTGAGAGAATAGCCGCATTTTTAAGAGTTTCAATAGAACGCAATGAAGAGGAAAAGTTAAAAGAAAAAATTGCAGAGGGTTTCAACAAAATTCTATGCACGCAGGAAAATCGTAAATTTACCTTGATTCGGCTTATCTTGAAGGACTTGGCAAAAAGAGGAGATACCCAAAAATACAAAAATTACATAGTTGATCCAAGACAGTATGCGTTTGTGTGGAGCTCAAATCAAGTAATAGCATTTTACAATACTTCTACTGCTTCAGAAACCTCAAGTTTTTCTTCAGAAATAAATGAAAACTTAAAAATATTCCATGAGTACCAAAATTGGATGAAATCATTAGAAGAAACAATGGAAAAACATGGATTATGGACATCCGATATTGCAAAACTTAAAAACGAGAGCTACGTACCTGCTTCTCACATGATCACATTAAAAAATACTTTTGTTGAGGAGCTTAACAAATCCTCTTCCTCTCATGACGAAAGACATAACATCTTTGAAACAGAGATGGAATCTTATTTTAACAATATTTGGGGATGTTCCCACGCCTGCTTATGGTGTGGGGAACCTTGTAAATTTGCATTGGATGTCCACTCTTCCCATCAATGCATCCAACATCGCCCTTCTGGAATATGTGGAATGATAGACAAACAAACATCGAAAATGTCAATTGAAACCTGTAATTTTTTGGTTGAGAGTTCCTCCCAGAGAGTTTTTTGTGGAGAATGGTGTAAATGTAGCATTAAAGACAAAGAAATATCTCATCCATGCTTACAATACATGGAATATATGAAAGATCCATGGTTCATTGCGTCTATGTCTAACCACTCCAGGTCGGTTTATTGGAGGTGGGTGATGAGCACCTTTGGCAATGAATTGGCCAAGGCTTTCGGGGCAGAGAATCCAGATATCCCAAGTTCCTGGAGAGAAATTTCTAAAGCTGACGCGGAAAAAAGCCTCGATGACTGAAATTTTATCCTAGAAGAATGACAAGTTGATCATCATTAGGATACATTCTAGCAATCTAATCTCCTGTAAATATATGCAATAAAAAATGAATGCATCAATAAATATCGATCCTAGTAAAATAAGACAATAATTTATTACTTAACTATTTTTACTCTCAAAATTTGCACTTTATGTTATCGTTAACAGATGTATTGTTTAAAAAACCGCACTCGTCTTTAATCATTCTAAATTTTTAAGTTTTAATGTCCAAGTTAACTGTCAACTGTCGAAGTCAGTGCTTCTCGTAAAAGCCCAATGAGAGACCTATATGAGGTGTAAAGTGACAGTATGGATGATCAAGCGGTTTCTGAGGTTGTATGGTGTTTAAGGACCAAGTACGTCCGTTGCAAGCCATAGGGCGAAATCAGCGAGTCCGGGTCTCCAACTACACTTATAAAATTGGAGAAAGGAAATTCTAAATTCTAAATTTTTAAGTTTTAATGTCCAAGTTAACTGTCAACTGTCGAAGTCAGTGCTTCTCGTAAAAGCCCAATGAGAGACCTATATGAGGTGTAAAGTGACAGTATGGATGATCAAGCGGTTTCTGAGGTTGTATGGTGTTTAAGGACCAAGTACGTCCGTTGCAAGCCATAGGGCGAAATCAGCGAGTCCGGGTCTCCAACTACACTTATAAAATTGGAGAAAGGAAATTTTAAAAAAAAATATTATACAGATTATTTATTAAAGTGAACTTTTTCTAATTTCTTGTAAAGAAAATCTTTGTATCTGATATGCTTATTGAACAAAAAGATTGTTGATTTAAAGTAATTGACATTGTATCAGATATTTGTATACCTTATTAATCTTCCATATTATTCTAGTTTGGGTGTAGAGAGAGAGAGAGAGAGAGAGAGAGAGAGAGAGAGAGAGCGCTTACTACCTTAGGTAAATCAACAGTAAGGTCTACATCATATTTGCACCAAACTTTACTCTGTCCTTTTTAAACTTTTAAATAGTCTTAGAACTTGAAAATGCCAATGAAAGTCATTTTTTTATTCCTCGACACCAGAATATAGGCTCGGATCTGTGATTATGGATATTGCAAATCATAGACTTTTTAAACCCGCACAATTTACGGAAGAAAATGCAGCTAAAACAATCCGTCTTTTCCTTACATTTCAATATGCCAATAAAGGAATTGATGCGGTTAATAAAAGTAATATTCTTAACCACAAAAGAGTCCAGTCTTGTATTCCATCATGTTTTAAAGGTACTTGGACACAGATTTGAAGTTAATATTTTCTCTATAATATTACAGCTTATATATTTTAATAGCATTTCACACAAAAATTAATTAAAAATCTTATTTCATTTAAAAGTTATTAAAACTTTAAATTTTTTGGCAATTTCACTTTCACAAATTTTAACTTTATTCTTAATCATTAGGAAAAGTGGCAATAAAACCTGCCAAAAAATTTGAAGTTTTGATAACTTTTAAATGAAATTAAAATTTCAATTTTTTGGCGGGTTTTATTGACATATCCTTGCACTTACACATTTTAACCTTATTCTTAATCCTTAGGAAAAGTGGCAATCTTGTTGTGTATTAATGAGAAATATTAAATATTAAAAAAATTATTCTATTCATAATAGAAATGACAAAAAGGCAAAACTCCATCATAAGTATTCCGAACTAAGAATTGCGTACAGAGTTTAGCAAATCGATCACACTCGTGATATGTACACAGTTTTTGTAAACAAGGCACGAGCTCTGTTTTTGTTGATGTTAAGATTTCACCGGGTGCGTTTAATTGTCAAAGTCTGCTCACCACAACTGCATGGACTGAGAATATATTGTGTGTTTGTTTTGATTTTGAATATGTCTACTCTAAATTTTCTGGATTCAAGTATTAATATTTTTAATTTATACACAACGAGACTTCCACTTTCCCTAAGGATTAAGAATAAATTAATGTGTGAAAGTGCAAGGATGTGTCAATCAAACCCGCCAAACAATTTGAAATTTTAAGATCTTTTATATGAAATAAGATTTTTAATTAATTTTTGTGTTAAATGCTATTAGAATATATGCCTTAATGTTATAGATAAAATAAAACCTCCAATATGTGTCCAAGTACCTTTAAAAGATTGAGGAGCAATATAAAAATCATCTATCCTCTTGTATTCAATAATCCAGAAGTGAAAAAAGAACCAGATAGATTACATGATCAGTACGTACTAGTCCCTGCTGACAAAGCAGGTCACAACATTGTCATTATATAAATTGTATTTTAGAAGAATTTGGATTTAATTCTACAAGTGGTAATCCTACCTATACTCATACTTCCCTTTCTAAGGAAGACATTCTTCAAAATCACCTGTCGCTTTTAAATATTTTTTAATATCCCACAGAGACAAAATGCATTTGAACTACCTTATATATATTGGATTCCAAAACTTCATTAAAAACCTTCAACCAAGCTTCCTTCGTTACTCCTCACTAAGATATTGACAGAAGGGAAGTGGTGTGAATCAGATGTGGATGCTAAAAAATTCCAAATAACTTTTGTACAATTTTAAATCACAAGATTTTACCAAAATTAACATCTTAAAAACTAGGACTTTTCAACTTTATACACAACTATTTCCCACGATAAATTTAAGTCCAGGCTTTTTATATCACTACAGCTGCTTTTCCAATAAGAATGAAACTCGTAAATTTACTTATCAGATCATTGGTCATAGACAAAATTATTTTTTTTAAAACAATTCTGATTGCATACACAAGTACTCTGAATTTGACATAAAAAAGATGCTTGAGTTTCTGATCGAAAATATATATGTGGTTTTTGGAGACCAGATATTCCAATAATATACTGGAATTCTCATGGGTACCAATCGCGCTCGGTTATAAGCAGACCTATTTTTGTATTCGTATGAAGCAGAATTCGTGCAAAATCTTATGCCTGAAAAGAAGAAAACAGCCTTCAAATCGACATTTAGATATATCGACGACGTATTGTCAGTTAACAATGGTCATTGTCATTCCTATGCAAATACGACATATCCTGGTGAGCTTGAGATAAAAGATACCACAGAGTCTGACACATTTGTTTTATACATGGACTTTTACTTGAAAAAAACGTTAATAGTAATCTAACAACCAAGCTATATGATAAACGTAATGACTTTAACTTATCCATCGTCAACTTCCCTTACCTATACAGCAATATACGTTCATCACCTGCCTAAGGAGTGTATATATCTCAGTTGATTTATACCCGAGATGATGCTATACGTATGAACAATTTCTAAAACAAGGTCAATTATTGACAAGCACGTTGATAAAACAAGAATATCAGCAAGTTCTATGGTCGATACAGTTGCCTGCGTGGCGCAGTGTTTAAAGCGTCTGCTCTAGAGTCGAAAAGTAAGGAGTTGATCCTTACGTCGCGGGTTTGAATCCCACTGTGGGACGTGGGGACCGGTCCTTCGGATGAGACCGTATAAACCGATGACCCGTGTCGCAGTAGGTGATGACACGAAAAAGATCCCTCCCTGCTCAATGGCCCTGAGTGCCGAGTATGGGACAAAATTTGCAGCTCTCCGCCGGCAAGTAGTAGCGTCTCCATATGAGTGAAAAATTCTCTCAAGGGACCTTAAAAATATACAATCAATCAATCTATGGCGGATACAATGACCTTGTCAGCAAATTCAATTTATCATTGAGTCCAATGCAGACTGACGTTTTTCATACTTATTGTTATCGCCATCTTTTATAAACTTAATTGACAATGGATTTTTCCGTTATTTCCCGATTATGACAAGGAACAAAGGGCGGGTGTGACTTGTCGGCAGGGTATGCTCACTCCTCAATGGCACCTGATCCAAACTCTGATGTTTTGGAAGTTCGTGTTTCCTCTGCTCCTATTTTGTATTGTGTTATGGATTTTGATATTGAATACTGTTCGTTATCTCCATATCTTTCTTACTTTTAAATTCTAGATTTACAAATCTTATCTAGTAAATATACCCAATACCTAGTAAAGCTACTTTTAAGGTATTGATTGTATCGGTAGTAAATTTAATAGTCTTCTTAGTGACTTTAACTTCAGTTATTTTTAAAAGTGAGGAGGGGTATTGCCAAGGAAAATAGTTATAACGTTCTGTTTTGTAACTTCATGAACAGATTTATCAAATTGTGAACATTCTCTTACAGACTTTATAAACTTCAGACTGGTATTTAATAATTTCATCACTAGTAATTCAACATTTTATTAAACTGGAGGCCTATTGACCACCTCTTCTTCTGTGCATTGTTGCTCAATTTAATGCATGAATATCACTGAAGGTTATATGAAGCTGTTGTGGATTCTTCGTTCTCCGGGTTGTATGGAGGGTCTAGAGACAAACTCTCGGATATTTCTTGTCTCATGACACCAGCAAACGATCAAAATGTACCACCACAAAGTAAATAGTAAGTATTCCCGTCAAAAAGGCGAGACGACTAAAGAAGTACGACAATCTCCGAAGAGAAATTCCACTGTCAAACCTCCGTTCATTGAAAAAATCGTTTGCCTGCAATTAAAGAAAAGAATCGAATATGTGTAGTTTTAATTTAAAAATAATGAAATTTAAATTTATCATAAAATGAATACATGTTTGAACACTTTCAACATCAAACGTAATAACTACGATAATTAAAACAAAAGGCCCATGGACCACATCGCTCACCTGAGAAGCTTTGGCCATTCTGTTCTTTACCAGATTTCCCCCTTGTAATACATATTGTGACCCCATCCTACCCCATTGATCATAATTTAGACAATTTGAAATCTACACTACCTCAGGATGCTTCCACATAAGTTTCAGCTTTTATGGCCCAGTGGTTCTTGAGAAGAAGATTTTAATAAAATTTTCCTATATATTTCTATGTAAAACTTTTATTCCCCATTGTGGCCCCGCCCTATCCCCGGGGGTCAAGGTTTGAAAAATTTAGAATCTACACTACCATAGGATTC